AATCATTTTTATCACATTTTTACCCATTTCCACACATGGCTCTTTTTAAGATCAGCCAAAGATGCCGTTAATAGGAACGCTACAGTCGCGACACATCCGGTGATGAATTCAACTAAACCATGAGGTTTTATGCAGCTATTCGGTGGGGAGGAAAAGGGCAGTCACACTTCTCATCTGAGACCAGATGTCCTGGGGGCCACGCCTGGGCAAGGACGCTGTGCCTTTTCAGGGGTGGGCCCAGGCCTACAAGCCTATAGGTTTCGGTCCTAATTATGTAGTATCACAGGCTGCAGACCCGTGTGGCAGTTATTTGACTGTGTCAACTTGCATAAATTAACACCCAACTAGATGGGCTCAGCAAAACTCTAGGTGTGGAAGGCCCTAGGCTGGGGTCTTCCAGTTCTAGTGTGAGGACTGTCACCAGATGCTATGAAAGAGAACGAAGAAGGAACAAAGGATGCCTGTACTTGGCTTCTGGTGCAGAATCTCCAGCCTTTGGCCACAGACCCCTGGACCTCCTGAGACAGACTTGCACAGGCACTTTCCATTTTCACCTTTAATAGTGGATGAGGGCCACTCCAGTGAACTCCAGGCCTCCGACTGGATCTTTCAGATCCCCAGTGTGCAGACAGAGCTTCTAGACTCCCACACCTGACTCTATGGATGACACTATAAGCCAATCTGCAAATCCTTGTATTTGTACACTTGTATTATACCTGTTTCTCTAGTAAGCACTGAGTGACACAACCAGAATGTGTGTTGGTGTTTTATTATTATCACCATCATCCAGATAATTCCTCAGTGCATTTTGCCTGTGGATAATTATGTTATTCTCTATGGAACACAGATGCTGGGGCTACTTTTCCCCTTCTAAATTTTCTCAAAGCTTGAGGGGCTGGGGATTTGGCTCAGTGGTGTAAGCACCCATCTGGCAAGCGGGAGGTTGTGAGTTCAATCCCTGGTACCACCAAAAAAAAAAAAAAAAGTATTTTCTCAAAGCCATAACATTGAGTTTTCTTTTTGCTAAAAATACTCTGGGACCTGGTAATTCCACACATAGATATGCACTTGAAACAACAGCAGTTGTCTACACAAAGACTCATATGCAAGTACACACAGCATCATTATTTGTAAAGTCAAACATGAAAAACAGCACAGGTATTCATAGACTGTAACTGGAGGAACAAAATGTGGTATTTCACTGGCAGGGAACACCCATCAGTAGTCACAAGGAGCTCGATGGTGATAGATTAATAATACGATGACCCTAAGACTGCATGCTCCAAGGTGCTGGTGGCAAACCTATAGCATAGGTGCCACAGTGGGCACACAGGGCCCTCTCTGTTGGCCCTGTCTCTAAAGGGCTCATTATCACTCTGCTAAGACAAAGAAGTCATATGTGAGAGTTTATGTACTGTAGTATGAGACTCCCTTTATGTGGAATTCTATTAAGGGCAAAACTATGGAGAGGGACAGCTCAATAGTTGCCTGGGCTAAAGGTTGACCTCAAAAGGGCATTTAGAAAATGTTTTTTGGGTAACAGACAAAATTAAGCTTCCATAATAGTTGCATGATTTTTCTTTTACCAGCAATCACCTAACTTACTGTATACAAAAGATAAAATTTATGGTTTGTAAATTATGTAAATTAAAGAACAAAAGACAGAAATAGATTTTTTTAAAAAATATATCAGCTCCATGTTCATTAGGATTCTGTCCTAAAAAAAAAAAAATGGAAGTTATTTTGATAACTAACCTTGACATTTACTGAGTTGACTTACAGATTAGGAATTTAATTTTGGCATGCTAGTGGTCTTACTTTGTCCTTGCTAGGATGCAATATCTGACACCTGTAAAATAAAGGAGATTTACTTGGGCTCAACCATTTGTAGAGGTTTCAGTTGTAGTCAGCTGGCTCCAAGGCAGAGTGGCATGGCAGCGGGGCATCACTAAGGAAAAACAGCCCATGGATTTGAGGCAGGAAGCGTGGGGTGGGAGGGACACAGGACCTTCCAAGCCATTCCCCCAGGGACCCCTCCTCCCCACATCCCATTTAGCTATAAACTCAGCAGTGGATCCATCCCTGAAGAGTGACATGAACCCCTGATCCAATTGCCTCCCCAGAGTCCCACACATGCATGCATGAGGCTTTGGGGGACATCCTGATATAAGCCATAACACTAGTTAAAATCACTCATGATAAAATCCGGGCAGCAAAGGAACAGCATTATTGAGGGTATTGGAGTCAGGCTTCTACTAGGAAGGGTGAAGGGAGGACCAGAAGGTGACAGATGCTACAAAGCTCCAGAGAAAGCAAGGACATCCAAGACGGCAGAAAGCCAGAGCAAAGAAAGGATAAATGGTACCAGTTCTGCATTATATCTAAAACCCAGGTAAGAAGGGTTGGGATGCATCTTCAGGACTGTGTGGGGTTCTGAAAAGCACAGGTGCACAGCCCACTTCAGGTCTGAGCAACAAGTCAGGGAATCAGTCACAGAACCACAAGAGGGAATCCTGGGTTTATGGTTCTGTGATACCAAAAGTCCACCAAATGCTACCGAAGCAAGTATCCTTCGGAAGGTTCAGGAGCATTACTGCAAACTTAGGAAATGCAGCTCCCTACTGACAAAGAAGCCAAGGGTGCCTGAGCTCAGTGCTCCAAATCTGTAAGCTGTACAGGGGAGTCAGGAGGAAGGTGAGGGAATGCTCTTTACCTTGGCACCTGGGTTGTCTGCAAGTTTTGCAAAGACTTTGAATCAGCGCTGAAGTGGAAATGCTCGGCCAGCCACAGAGCACTGCTTCTAGTCTGTGTCCAGCCAGATTTCCTGGACAGGAGTGGCATTTAATGGGCAGCCATTTGTCCTTTCTTCTGTCCTGCTCATTCGGGTTTGGTTGGGAGGCCTGTATTTTTCTCATCAGGTCTTTGGCCCCAGGGCAGCTCATCTGGGGCTTCCTGGTCTTAAGGGGACACAGAGTAGACTCAGGTCAGCTCCCAATAAGATCCTTTGCCCTGATCTCCACAGCTGCATGACCTGATATCAGCTGAGCTGCCCAATGTTCAAAGATCAGTTTACTAACACACAGAAGATTATAGGTTTATGTCACATTCCACTGCCTGCAAGATGGCAATGTGAAAAGTTATTTTTTTTTTACATTGGGCATTTTTCTAAGGAAAAAGGCAACACAGTAAGAGGAGAGAGGGATTTAGCAATGGGCAACTTTTGTGGATGGGTGTGGGAAAGGAGATGTTCTTTTATTTAGCATCCCCATCTTCCAAAACTGAGCTAGAGAAGACAAAATAGGTCTTTTCATGAGCAGTCAGGGTGCAGTGGAGGTATTGATGGCTTCAGATCATAGCTTAGCTCCCCGCATTGAATGCTGGCAGCACGAGAGGCTGCTGCAGCCACATGGGACAGCACAAGGGCAGCCAAGGGGGCTGACAAATGTCCCTATAGAAAATGCATGCTCCGAACATGCACCCCAAATCAGCGCCACACTAGCAGTGCCCCCATCTTCAGGCCTGGGAGCTGTGTGGTAAATGAGAATCTCTATCCTGTGGACCTAAGTTAGGGACTAATTGTGTTGCCCTAAAATAGAAGACTCCTGATCCCCAGTACGTACATAGAGATGGGGGCTTCGGGAGATAGCCAGGGTTAGGTGAGATCTTGAGGCTGGGCCCCCCATGTGTGCGGCAGGGGTCAGCATCGTTCTAAGAAGGGAGATCAGGGGACAGCAGTCTGCCAGCCAGGACGGACTTTGCTAGGAACTGAGCCTGCTGACACCTGCATCTCAGGCATCCCAGAAGGAAACTGTCAGAAATAACATTTCCATTGTTTAGACTCAGTCGCTGGTATGATGACAGCTCAAGACTACCAGACTAGGATAGAAATTGGACCTGAGAAATGGGAGGATGTCAAAACAAATGTCTAAAATCACAGCAGCAGCTTCGGCACTGGGCAATGCATAGAGGCACTGGGCAATGCATAGAGGTTGGAGTTCTGAGGTTCATGCTAGAAATACGGCCATAAAAAGCTAATTCTGGGGACAGGATAGAGAGAGAAGGGTGGAAGAGGCAGCATCCATCCCCTCGGAGAAGGCCACATCCTGAACAGCACAGGTGGAACGGCGGGTGGGAAAGGCTACTCTGCAGAGGATTCAGGAACAAGATTTTGGCAACAGGAAAAGCAATTATCGCTCTTCCTGGGCAAGGAACTGGATGAACCGCGTTTGTGTCCTAGCACTTGGTGGAAAAGAGAATTTACAAGTAAAGACATGGGGATCTGAAGCCGAGATTTCTAGACAAAGTACGGAAGATGTGTCTGGTTCCTTCCGACTGCTGGCACAGATGGTTACAAATATCCAACTTCAGATTGTTAAATTTTAAGATTGTGTGAAAACAAGATCCATGCAGCAGAAACTGGGCTCTGAAATTTGATCTTTTTCCAATTTAGCCATATGTGATCTGGGCAGAGACAGTGAACCGTGGCTCCCAGCCACACAGTCACAGGCGAAGCAACCCAGACACTACAGCAATCTGTGTCTTGAAGCTATCATGTTCAGTGGGTTAGGTATAAGAAACGCATTTTTGATGTAGGATTTTTGTTTTCAATTTATGATGGCTTTATCAGGCAGTAACTACACGGCACATTGAGAAGCATCTGGGACAGCAAAATGGAAGAATAAAGAAATGACTTCAAGGCTGAATTATTAAGTAAAACAAAACCAGAGTCTAAAGATCTGGCACATTCTCAGCCTGCTCACACCACAAAAAGAAGCAAGACAGCAAATTCAGAGATCAAGGGATGTTGTCTGGGGCAAGGTTTGGGGCCAGTGGCCACAGAGGGCAGAGGTGGCCTTGTGCTGGACACAGAGATGTCCACAAGGTATTTTGGTAGGAATCTCTACTTCTTTGATAAAGTATTTCAGGAAAATGATCCACACACATGGCAGCGGTTGGAGGTACAAACAGACACAAAATCAAAACCAACCCATGCACCGAGCTTCTGCTTCTGAGAGACAAGGCTGTTTTAATTAGGACTAACTTTAAGGCCTTAAATTCACATATGTTTTACACTGTGACTTTTCAAACAGGAAAAGAGGTACTCGATTGGCTCATCAAGTCCAAAATGGTTTTAATGAGACTTCGCTGAAACTTCACAGAAAAGTAACTCAAAGTCGAGTCCTGGGCCCAAGACGAGGACGAAGGGCTGCGTCTTGCTTCCCGTCCACAGCCCTGTCCCTGTCTCCAGCCCTGGCAGGGGGTGGGGGTGAGGGACTCTCACACGGCCAGAGTACCGCTCCCTAGAGCAGCTGCACATGTCTGGTTTGGCACGTATTTTGAATTTTATTTCACTTTCACATTTACAAATTCAGGAGCCGCTGTGAGAAGAGGGGAGGCAGCCCAGCTCCCGCTTCCCCACCTGGGCTCACGGACAGCGCAGCTGTGCCCGCCACCAACTCTTGGGGACACTGGCTGGAACAGCCACGGTGGCTGATCCTTATCCGGCTGCCTCTGTGCACCTCGCAGGAGGGTTTATTGCTGGTGAATTTGGTTACCCAATTCCTGGCCGCTTCGTCCAGGGCGGTGACACGATCAGAAAAGGGTCTAGGGGCAGCCACCTCGCGGAGATGGGAAGATGCTGGGACAGGTGAGCCCAGTGAGTCCCACAATGCTGCCACGCTGTCCCCAATGATTGGTTTCCTCCAGCTGGCCTGCAGATGGCAGATGTTGGGTTCTTTCTCCCCACTGAGAAGGGGGATGCCAGAGGGAGATGTGGGGAGCCCTGCTGCTCACTTTGACGGTCGATCAAGACAGGAAGTGTGCAAGGCCACAGTGGCCCACGTGCAGCAGCTCCTGTACCACGCTTCTTCTCAGGCCCCAGTGTCCCCCTTCAGGTGGAATCTACTCACCCCTCGCATCCCAAAACCATGCTTGACACGAGGGACTCGACAGAGCTACAGCGATGAGGATGAGCATCAGGCAGAGTGGCTGGGAACAGATGGACCCCTGGGACCACCTTGTGCTCACCACTGACCGTCACGGGAACGGGAACAGATCAGTGATCACAGGAATGCCGTTTGCCTCCATGATCACGGTGGTGCCAAAGGGGAGTCAGAGGTGCCATTTCATGATCCAGATTTGATCCTGCATGAGCCTCGGGAGGGGTCTGCTGTGCCTCAGTTTCTCCATCTCTCCTCTGGTGGCCTCTGTTCCTGCCATCCACGGGGGTGATGCCCACTTACACAACTCTTGACGCTAGGTCACATCTCTTCTGGGAAATGGCAAAGGCCACCGGCATCCTGATGATATAACTCAGGAGGGCAGAGCCCTCAGCATCTTACACCTAAGCCAGGTGGAGATGCTGGGGTGCAGCCTTGCTTGTTCCCAGGCCCAGACATCAAGGGAGTCTCCTTAAGCAGGGGTATGGCCTGGCATAGATCGCTACCTGGCTACCCCATGTACCAACAGAGACACCTGCATTCAGACATCCTACACATTAGTTTAGCAAAAAATCTGGTTTCTGATACCCAAAGAGCTTGAAGTCCCCCTCGAAGCGTGTGTACAGGCGCCGGATGTCCCGTTTGCTGATGCCCAGGAAGTAGCTCTGGACCTTGGTTCTGTTGTACGCAGTGATGCCTGCAGGAATGGTCGGGTAGGACACCAGGTGGTCGATGCCAGCCTCCCGTAGGATGTATGGGGCGTCCTCCTCCAGTGTCTCGTGGTGTCCGATCACGCTGTACTTGATCTCACAGGGTGCACACAGTTCCACATAGGTCACCCAGTGGATGATATGGTCCCCAAACTGAAGGTCAAGCCACCTGTGGTTCGGGTCGCCCAGGTAGCGCACAAAATCTTCAAATTGGATCCCCCGGGTCTCCGTCCGGTTCCTCCTGTACTTTCGGATGATGCCTGGGGCGATCTCATGCCTGTACCAAGGTTCAAACCGGGGATTGTGCACAAATTTGTCCTTAAAGGCAGAAATGAGTCGTTCGAAAGGATCTCGCACGATGAAAAACTTGAAGTACGTTTTTAATCTAAGGAAAAGAATGAAAACAAACAGGTGGTGAACTTGATGCTCCTGGAGGCCACAACAGAGTGGTTAAACAGTTTAATTCTAGATGGCCCCCCCCAAAGTCACATGCACTCATAGATGGGGCTTTGGGGAACGACTGGATGTCATGGGTGTGTGACACTGGATCAGTCCACTGATGGGTTTCACATAGTTCCGGGTGGGAATGATGGATTTAATGAGGAGGGAAGACCCACCGTGGGGGTGGGTGGCACCAATCAATAGACTTGTAGTTTCGATGGAATATAAAGGGAAAGAAAGCCCTGCTTCTTCCTGCCTGCTATGCCATGGACTGTTCTCATCTGCAAGCTCCTCTGACAAGCCACCCTGCCTTGAAGCCAGCCACTTATGGACTAAAACTTTTTTTTTAAATCTGTACCGGGAATCAAATTCATGACCATGCGCTTGCAAGGCAGGTCCTTATTAAAACCTCTATAAACTTTGAGCTAAAATAAAATTGGCCTCCTTAAACTTGCGGTTGTTGGGTATTTATCCCAGCAATGAGAAAATAACTGAGACAGAGGGAAAGTGAAGCATTCTTGACTGTGGAAGTCTCACCAGGGCAAGCCCTGCTGGGTCCATATCTCTTCTCCTCCAATTTTGGCACAGCAGTGAGAAAACAAGCTCAGAAAACTCAACAGTCCCCGATTACCATACTCTTCCTAAGAACTCCCTGGGAAGACTCTGTATGGTCAATGTTTTGCTAATGACTGGATTAATTCAAACCTTCAAGGATTTTTGTAAGTGTGGAACTCTGAGCAAGCCAGAGGCCACCAAAAGTTACTCTGAGACATGTTCCTCTTTTTTTTTTTTTTTTGGTAGCACTAGGGTTCCAGGCCTTTGCACTGAGCCATTTTTCTTTCTTTTTTTGAGACAGGTAGATCCTCCTGGCTTGGCTTCTCAGTGCTGCGTTATAGGCCTGTTCACCACACCTGGACTCATTCCTATTAACAGATAAATACTAATGGGAGACATGATAGGAAGACTGGAAAAGACGGCTTGAGAATCTCGAGGGCTCAGGTCTACACCCCTGGGATGCTGGGCACATCCTTGGTAGCTGCTCAACAACCAAGCCCCATCTGTGTTCCTTAGAGCGAAGCGGGTTCCAGTCCAAGGCAAGCACAAGCTGAGACAGGGGTGTACCACACTCTCTCCGTGGGCTCCGGGCACCCCCTGGTCCCTGCTGCTGACCCTGCTCGTACCGCTTCTGGATCTCAGCCTCGCCGAAGGAGGAAAGGCGGGGGAGGCCATTCTTCTCGTGGTCATGCACCACGTTCTCCGGGATCTCCTCAATGGACGGAAAGGCTCCTGGGAGGGAAACAGGGGAAGATGGCTTGGTGCCTTGGCGTGGCCTTGAAAGAAGCTGTCATCTGTCTCACTTTCATCCCCATGCTCCCCAGGGTCTGAGTACCAGTCTATCCCAACACCCACGCCCTGTGTCTCTGAGTTCCAGCTCTTCCTGCTGGCAGTGAGGAGAGGGAAAGACCAGCAAGAGGTAACCCTCAAGCCAAGTGGAGGGAGAGAGGATGGTGGGAGGGAGAAGGGGAGGGAGCAGTATAGAAATACTGACAGCAGCTACCCCTAACAGGGCACCTGGGCTAACACTGCCATTAGAGAAAGCTTGGTACTCTGGGAGGCTGAGACAGGAAGATCCCAAGTTTGAACCCAGCCTGGGCAATTTAGCAAGACTTTGTCTCCAAATGAAAAAAGAAGAAAAGGGCTGGGGATATGGTTCAGTGTGAAAGTCCTGAGTTCAACTCCTAGGACCACAAAATAAATAAAACGGGAAGAAAGCATAAGGCCTGCGAATAGAATTCCTAAAACTAGTAACACTATTCTCCTCTGACCCCAGGGAGATGCCAGGGGGCAGAGCCAGATGCAGCACCCACAGAAATGCCACTGTTCCTGTCTCAAAGGCAGCCTGGGCTCTTGCAGCACCCCAGCTCCGGGCTAGCAGTGGTCCTCAGGAGCCCACTGGGCAGCCCAGACTAGCGAGTGGCAAAGGTGTTTGATGCTAGGAGATTCTAGCTGTAGCTATGGGCACCCCAGTCTCCAGGAAACAGAATGGGGGACAGGTGTGTCACAGGAGGTGCAGCAGCGCCTGCAGCCATGGTCTGTCACTCAGAACCACGGACTGCTGTGGGTACCTCGGGGGAGGTGTCTGTCCTAGGGCCAGGGGCTCAGCCATGCCCCTGGGTTGCTATTCGGTGCCCATCCTGCCTGCCATCCTGGCATAAAAGAACCCCTCTTGGGGCATCCATCTGCGCAGTGGCCATGGCTTGCCTGTTTTATTCATGCATTCTTTCCCCAACAGTGAAGCCCCAGGCCGGGACTCTGCTGGTGCTGCTGACAGCTTTACAAGGGCCAAGGGGGCGGCAGAAGAGCCCGCAATCTGGGGCTGCAGGGCACTGAGGGACAAAACCAAAGACATGGGACCTCAGCATGCGACCGGGCACGCCTGTTCCTTAAGAAACCAGAAGGGGAGCAGATTAGAAAAGCCCCTGCTGTTTTAGAAACAGCTGAAGATTTCTGAGAAATCTTCAGGAAATGGTAAGATGGACAATCAAGGATCTCTTAGAATGAGTTTCATTTTCTCACCAAGCATCTGACTACACAGCAGGTGCTGAAGTCACAGAAGAAGGTTCCTTTTTTTTTTTTTAAATTAAAAAAACAGAAAGGATCACACTGAGTATTTCAGGCTGGCCTCGAACTCACAGTGTAGCCCAGGCTGCTCTCAAACTCACGGCGATCTTCCCGTCTCGGCCTCCTGAGTGCTGGGACTATAGGTGTGTGCCATGGCACAGCGCTTAATTTTTAACCAGAAGTGAAAATAACCAAATCTGTACTCCTCGCTGGAGTGACAGGTGGCATCTCCACGCACACGCGGCAGCCTGCTCCTGCCGCTGCCCACCTTGGAACGTAGGTGTTTACATTCTCTTTCATTCCCGCTGCCAGGGCCGCCCTGCAAGCCTGTCCCTATATTCCTTGTTTTCAATGATCAGTAACCTTGCTCTTCCATTCACAAACCCTGCATGCTGCCTGCCGGATTTTCCTCCTCACTACCACGGTATCTGGAGAGGGCACATAGCCAACACTGACCGGCAACCCTTCGAGCTGCTTCAGGAACCCTGAGCTGGGGGACAGGAATCCCCGGGCCACCAACCTGCGGTGCCAGGCAAGAGTCCTACTGCAGTGGGTTGGAGCCAAGTTCCTTTTAAAGCAGACTTTACCAGAACCCATGATTACCCCAGATCAGTGCAGACTAACTGGAGTTTAAACAAACCGACCAGGCCTCTGGAAAGAGCTCTGAGTAATCAGAACTACGGTGTCTGAGGTCGCTTTTCCATCATCTCACTGGCTTCCCATAAATACATTTCCTGAATGGAGCCAATTTAAGCCTCTGAACACAGTGGAAAAGAGAGTGCAATGTCTTCCTGTCCAGTACGAACAGAACCTGCACTCTGTAGGTGAAGGACCCCAAGCCCACGGAGCAGGGGAGCAGGGTCACCTCCCAGGCTCTGGACTAGGGAGGCAGTGTCCTGGTCTGATGCTCTCAGGACAGAGCTTGTGGCCACAAGAACCAGCAGGCAGAGTCACAGGGTCAGAGCAAGGATCAGCGGGATGGGCAGGCTAGCCAAGGCAGGGATCTACGAGAAGTGGAGAGATCCTGACCTGACCATGCAGGGTATCTTTGAAAATGGTCAGTGTCTGCATGAACCCCACCAAGGGCTGGGGGTATAGCTCAGGGTTAGAGGCAAAGCCCCTCCGCCAACATGCACAAAGACCTGGCTGATCCTTGCATGGAAGAGGAGGAAGAGGAGGAAGAGGAGGAGAAAGAGGTAGAGAAAAAGAGGATGAGGAAGAATAGGAAAAAGAGTTTAAAAAAAAAAAAGACAACAAAAGAACTCCATCAACTTTTCAAGTGCAACCCTGGTAGGGAAAACCCAAAAACCACCTGGAAAGTGGCTGGACCTTTCAGGAGGACAGGAAGGCCTGCCCTCTCCTCGGAGCGCTCTCCCCACTCCCAGGCAGACCCCTGAGGTTCCTGACTGACTCCCCTACCCCAGTGGCACATGGTACACGCACCATTGAGCACCATCAGCACCTTCTTCCACTGCGTGTTGCCCACTTTAGGAGTCTGGCAGAAAAGAATCTTGTGCTTGTCACAGACAAATATCCGGTCCAGGACAAACTTGGAGACGGCTGTGTGTGAGAGGTTCTTCAGGGCCTCGTCCCTGCACACGTTCCGGATGAGCTCCAGGCGCTCCAGGTAGACCAGGGGCTGGGCAGGCCGGCTGTCCCCAAGCATCTTCCCCGTTGGCTGTGGAGGAGAGGGAGAAAGGGCATAAGGGAATACAGGGAGGACATAGGAGCCACTCCTGCTGGCTCACCCTGTCCCCTCCTTCCTGTTTCTACAGAGCCAAACCACTACTCATGGCTTCCTGCAGCCCCTCCCACTGCAGTACCAAGTGACACAGGCAAATCAGCACCATGGCCAGGGCAGCGATGCGCAGGTTCCTGTGACTTGCTTCTAGGGAGAAGGCTGAATTCCAAACCAGAAAAGTTGAGAGAGCTCAAGTTCCAAAGCCCAGCACACACCCAAAGCAGAGCACACACCCTAGGGTGGTGGAGAATGTCCCCAACATGAGGGGACTCTGGCTGGTCCTCAGTCCAGCTCCTCCTCCTCTGGGGCTGGCACTCAGCCTGTAGCTGCTCACTGAGTCTTGGCAGGGTCTGGGGCAGACAGAAACCTGGACAGCCAAGCCGAACAGCATGTGTGTGTGTGCACATGAGTGTGCACATGTGTCATCTGTGTGTGGGGGTGGGGGCTGGAGGGGAAAGCAGAGGGCATAGAGAGGCGAGGGGGCCACACCAGAACACACAGATGCTCGGTGAGTTACAATTCCTCCGAGGCTCCTACTGCAGTGGCGTGTCTGCCCCAGGAGCCACCCAGCCTCCCAGGAGCGAACTCACTCCTGTGCCTGTAGCCCAGGCATTTCTGGAATGCTTCTTTCCCAAACTGACTGAAACCCAAACTGAGCCCAGATGAGCAGTGGCCACCCCCGGAATGGTGCCCCAAATGAGCTCTCTGGAAATAGCACAAAAGCCTCTGTTACTTGGGCTTTGCTTCAAGCTGAAGCATTAAATGCAAAGAAGAAACTTCGAATTCAATTGCTTACCATGCAGCATCATTTTCTGCCCCTTCCCAGCTAATACATAAAACAAGTTTTAATTACTGATATACTTTTTTACACTCTTCCATTCAAGCACGGGGGTTCAGGATGTGCAAGATAAACTTAAAGGAAGGCATGGGAACCTGGTCCCTTAATCGATCACACTTTCTGGTGGGAAACACATGGAGTTCCACCACTGTTCAACAAGTCCTGGTCCCAGTGGACTTTACATGGAAGTGACTTTCTTCCTTCAAGCTGAAGCTGGGTGGCAGGAGAATCAAAGTCCCAGGAGCAAAAGAACATGGGCTCAGAGCCAGGCCCACGAGCTCCTACCCATGGTACACAGGGCCAGTATGCAAAGATCCCTGAGCCTCATGGTTTCCCACTACCTATCAAGAATAAAAAATACCTAAGACTCAGACGCTTCCACTAAGAGACCATCACACTTAAAACCCTGCAAAGAGCTCTGTGAACCATAAAGTGTTCTGCTCCACTCACGGCTGCTGCTGCAGCGCCCTTGTGGGTGCTCTTTATCCCTGCAGCTAACCATTGACTTCCTTAGCCCATTCTATTGAAGCCCCCTATTCTATACAGGTGCCATGATTTCCGGTCTCTGTAAACCATCCGAGTTCTTCTCTCGTCCTGGATGCCGCCACCCAAAGCAACATGCCTGGGTTTCTCAAGAGCTCTGCAGTTTGGGTCTCTATCACATTGACATCTGGACAAGTTCACCCTCACCAGCTCTGTTCCACTCTGACCGGGACTGCTTTCCATGCTCCTGGGCTCTGATTCTCCATCTAGCACTGTGAGCCACGGACGGCTTGGCTTCACTCAGGCTGATGAACATCTTTAGGGCTCCCCTGACCCACGGATGCTTTTAGTGCAATCATGACCCCCACCTTTTAGTCTCGGGACAGGGGTCAACAGGGGAGAGTCCAGTCTTGGGATGGGGTTCAGCAGGATGAGAGCACAGCTCTCATTCTTTCTGGCAGGGAACCACAAAGAAATTATGTGCCAAAGGGGCCCATGAGGAGGACATGGGGTCGATGTCACAGCAGGTGAGCACTGGGGACTGTGGCCACTTTGGCTCTGCCTGTGACTCCACGTGACAGGAGCCCCAGCCTTTTCTCCAGGATGGGCTCCTCCATCCACACAGCCCAGAGGCCAGATCACCTCTCTGCTGTCCAAGGCCCCTGCTCTCCAAAATCCCAGGATTCTGGGTGAGACCCTTTTTCACTCACCTGGTTTTCTCCTGACCTTGCCCAGCGCATTCCCCCTCTGGTGAGGCTGAGGCTCCCACTCAGCGGGCCAGGAATTTAGCGAAACCTTTACAGCACCTCCACGAGCAAGGAATATAAAATAAATATGACTTCCTCCCTCCCCAGATGGAAGCTAAAAGGTGATCATAAATATACAGGTAGCAAAAGCAGCCACAGGCTACTTTGCCTTGTCCAACACCTTGGGACCACAGGGCTTCAAATGCCACAGTGCTTTTGGATTTTGAAATATCTATGGACACATAATAAGCTCTTTACACAAGCCTAGAGTTCATTAAGCTTCATGTGTATCTCAGAGGCACAGCCCGAAGGTAGCTGCATCTGACATTTGACATAATTTTATGTACGCTACAAAGCCATCGTGCTGTAGACTCAGTCACCAGTGGCTGCGACAGCACTTAGAAACTGGGATTTTGGGGCATTTTGGATTCTGGGTGTGCTCGACCTGTGTCATGGAGCAAGCAACAGTGACAAATGGGAACTACTGCAGCTGGCTGCACAGGCGGGGAGTAGGGACCCTGTGCAGGGCTCCCTGAGGACAACTGTGCCCATGTCAGAGGGCACTGGGCTCATACCCACCTTCAGTTCCCCAGGAAAGTGCTTCTCTTCTGCGAACCTCCCCGCTTCCGGCACCGTCGTCAGAAACAGAAACTCCTGCTTGGCGCTGTACCCTGGAAAACACAGAGGGTAAGGTGTCTTCTCAAGGAGGAACAGGAACAGGCATGCAGATGGATGGGGCAGAGCAGGACACATGGGTGACATAACAAAGCAAGCTGACTGGAGGACAGTCTCCCTAGAACACTCAGCTGCAGTGACTGGACACCTAGAGACCAAAGAGAAGGCTCTGTCTAAGCCTCACATTTTAGTCAAAGATGAACTCAAAATGAACGTGGATTTCACTAAAAATGTTCAGTCCTAACAGTTTCACTAAACGGTATAGGAGAAAAGTCTCGGGAAACACTGAACTTGATTAACATTAAAAACAAATGCAATGTAAAATTCTTCCTGAGGAGGAGAAAAAAACAAGTGACAGGAAAACAATATTTACAAACTATGCATCTGACCAAGGATTTGTATTTACAGTATAGAAAGTCAAAACTCAAAGGCTAAAAACAGAAGCCAATTAAAAATGGATATGGAGAAACCTGATACCCTCTGTAATACCTGTGGGAAGGAAATAGGGCACAGTTACTCTGGAAAACCAGCCACTTGGGGAAAAAAACCAGTGTGCAATGACCACCCAGCACCAGGACCCAGCACCCACACTTGCTGCGATTTAATTCAGAGAAATTAAGATTTGTGCAAAGACCTAAATACAAATGAGTATAGTAGCTTTATCTGTAATAGCCCCAAACTGAAACCAGCCACTGCGCCCTTCATTCAACACATGCATAGTCGGGGCTGGGGATTTAGCTCAGCGGCATAAGCACCTGCCTTGCAAGCAGGTGGTCGTGAGTTCGATCTCCGGTACCGATAAAAATGAAAAGACAAAAAAAAAAAAAAAAAAAAGAACACATGCATAGTTACCAGCCATGGAATACAATACACTCATCAAACTGAAGACCTACAGATAACAACAAATTGGGTGACTCACCAAGGAATTACACTGACTGAAAAAAACCAATCCCAAAAGATCATATTCTGGAAATGCTAAGCTTATGGAGAGGAGAATGGATTAGTGCTTGTAAGCGGTCCAGGAGAAAGGGGATGTGGGCGTGGCTGAGGGCAGCAGGATGGATTGCCAGGATGACAGACATGCTCCGCCTCTTGGCTGTATCCCTGCAGATGCTCTGCTTCATGTAGTGTTTTTTGTAGAATGCCACCATTGGGGAAGCTGGGTAAGAGGAACACAGGACCACTCTGCGCTATTTCTTACAACAGAAGGCACTCTACAATGATCTAATAACTAGTTTAATTTACAGAAAACTAACCAGCAATCAAGTCAGTGTTTTCCCATTAAAAAGTTATGGGGTTCAAAATCAGGCCAGAGGATCCGAAGTGCTTGCCCGGAACAATGATTTATTCCGGGTTTTGCAGGGGCAGAACATGAAGGTCATCTTCATCTCTCAGTGAACAAAGCAGCATTCACTTCCAACATTTTGCAAAGTCTCATAATCAGAAAGGAAAAGTAGGTATCAAAACTGATTACACAAGAACATGTTTTATTTTTAAAAGAACAAAACTTCCTCTCCTGGGGTCATTAACATCCACACTGCCCATATGCAGCCACACACTTGCGTAGTCGGGCCAGCAGACTCCCCCCCACGCCCCTGCCTGGCACACAGCACCCTCCGCCTACAGCCTTTTACCCTGTGCAACAGGGGTGGAAAAGACCTACCAGAGCCCTGAGGACCAATTGTCCTCCAAATTAACATTTTTATGATAAGAAGCTTCCTGGCATTTGCTTCCCAATGTGTCCAACGATGACTCAACTAGATTCAGATAAAACCTACAGCATGGGCTATTATGTCTGGCTTTCTTTTGCCATTGATTCTTTGCTGATGACAAATGCCACTATCACCACCGTGACAACAGAGATCCTTTGTCTACTCTGCCTCTCGCACTGAGTGATTCTCCACCTTCGAGGTACAGGATTTCGCCCTTCAAGGGGTGGACAGTATGTCCAAAACACCCTCTTTTTGCTATAGCTATCGCTGCTTCTACTTTTTAACAAAATGTCTAAATTGGCCAATGAAAATGGGCACTGCTCTGTTTTTTCTAAAAGTGATCATAATCCTGTCTCACCTAACACTGAAACTGATCACCCTGTCTTGCAGCCCTGTCCCATGTACTTGTGAGGGGACGGGAGGCAGGGACATTCAAGTTGCCATGTACACCAGAGACTCACAAGGAAGGTAAGGGGCTGGGACTGGATACAAGACGGGAAGAGGATGTCAGACATGAGACAGCAGCAGTCAGTGACTACAAAGGCACACCAGACCCACAAGATGTCGTCAGCACACCATCAAACACCCATCACTGGGCAGAATTTAATCTCCCTTAATAAAAGTCTAGCCGCTCCCGTTTTAACATGATGCTGCAATGTGCTGAGGATAAATCACGGCTCCAATATGACCAAAAGGGAAACCATCGCAGTGCAGAACGAAAAGTGATCCTGTCAACGGGAGCTCAGGACAAATGGGTCCTTCCCCTCAGCTCAGGACAGGTCAGCTGCGCCGTGGTGACTGCCCACAGTTTTAGGACCTCGCTCTCTCCAAGTTCAAACACTGCAGGCCACAGCATCCTCACCTGAACCTGCTCTGGGAAAAAGCGGTACGGGGCCAACTGTGCCACATGGCTGTGACTCTGAGGCCACCAGGGCCACATGGCTGCCCCGAATGTCAGAGGCTGGAGGAAAGGCCTCCTGTCACTGGGACGGCCTGGCAGAGATGCTGGGTGAGATCAGAGCCTCCGTCTTCCCGCACTGCTTTCACCCAAGACCCGTCTAAGTTTCGCCTCCTTTTCCAAAGCCTTCTTAGGCACTCGCACCTCTGTGAAAACACCCAAGATAAACCTTGGCACATCCTAGCAGACACACTTAGTTTACTAGACCTGTTTAAAAGCTCTCCTACCAGAGAACAGTAAAACCCAAGGGTGCACACTTTACTTAACTATTATTAATTGTTTTCTGAGATGAGGGTCTCACTATGAGTAACAAAATCTGCTACCCAGGTACCCAGGCTGGTCTCAAACTCCAGGGCTCAAGTGACCCTCCAGCCTCAGCCTCCTAAGCAGCCTACAGGTGAACGCCACCATGTCTGCCTTATTTAACTACTATAGAAAGAAGTCTCACTAAAACGCATTCCATATGCCCCTATTTTTAAATGAAACAAACCACAAGCAAAGCAGTCTTATAAGCAAGGACGGTGCCTTCCTTCCTCACAGGGGACCTTTAGGGAGTGTTGAGGAACGCGTGTTACTGATGCTTAGCAGCACTTTGTGTTGCTCAAATTCTCAGCTACGCTCTACCGGTGTGTGTCACCCGGCCTCACTCCTGCAGACTGTGACACACCCAGTCTCCCGGGAGATCCCAAAGCACCCCCAGGGTGAGGACCACTGCTGTCTTAACGAGGGTGGTCACTTTGGGTGGCATGTGACTACGCTGATGCCATGGCAAAATTCCACTACCGTCCCCAAGACTCTACCCTGGCTCTTCCCGTGGAGCCCCTGGTCCCCAATGTGAACTTGCCGCCCTATGCAGCAGGTGGAACACAGATTCTTGAGGCTGCAAACCACACTGATTTTCTCCCAAAAGTTCCTGGAAGACAACAGAGGAACCAGCAGTGGTGGCCAGGTAGGACCCCCAGAGCCATGTGCCTGGTAATAAACAGCCCCAAGTGTGTAGCAGGAGCCTGCAGTCCACAGATCACACAGACAGTGCAGGAGTACACTGGAAAAACGTGGGGTACAGACTCCTAGCACACCTCTGAGGGCCATATCAGCAGGATATGCAAAGCTCCCTCCCAGAAACACTTTAAGACATCACATAAGGGTGATCCCTGCACACTCACACTTAGAGCAGCATGACTCGTAACAGTTAAACCTTACAGGCAGCCTTTAGGTCCACGGACAAATGAATGCACTAAAAAAATTGGTATCTATACACCCAGGAACACTTCTGCACCATAAAGTAGTCATCTGTAGGCTATACCTTGAGACCACCAAGTAAAGTAAAATACATCAGACCCACAAGCTTCAATACTGCACGGAAAGCCCAAAGCATAAATAAAGAGTAAAGTAAAAGATAACAGGAAGCCGGAAGATACATCATTTGCAGATGGGAGGGGACCCCAGAGACGGAGCGAGAGGCTGGGAAGAGGAGGAGGACAAAAGCGAGATGTGCTCTGCGCAGGCGCCAACTCCCTACAGTGAACGCAGCCATCAAGTACTGCAAACCCAGATTCACAAAAACAAAATCATCTTCAAACAGGCAGCACATAGGGCAGAGATGCCATCCTCATTCCGGGTCCTGACCCCAGGATCTGTCTCCCAGGCTGCAGCACTCAGCCAGTCTGGACCTGCCAAGGAGCTGTCCCATGTCCCCATGGCCTCGTTCTGTCCACCCAGCCCTGGAAGAGTGCTGCCTTGGGCTGGAGCACAGGGCCCCAGTGGCCTGCACTCAGCATGCCTGGGTCAGGCCCCAGGAGCCATCAGAGTAGAGGGTGGGAGGCGGTAGAGAAGATATCACGACCCAGGTAAGCAAGGGACAAGAATGTGAGACAGACGCAGCTCACCGAGACTCGACCCACTGCTCCCATACCTCTACCTCTCGGAGCCCTACTCTGTAAAGCAGAATCGACAATCCCTTAAGACAATTGGACAACACACATTTAAGTGACCCTCCGTCCGCAGCACTGAAAATGAACATTAAACGTGTGCCACCAAGGTGGGACAGCTATCTGGTACAGAGCCATGCTGAGTGACCATGGTCATGTCTCTCAAGGGCATGAAGCAGAGCAGATTTCCAAACCAGGAGCTGGGCTACACCCTGCTGCAAGGCATCCGTGACCTCTGGTATCTCTGTAAAGCATGGGACCACTGTCACTCATACCTGGGAGTAGTGTAACAGCCAGGACTTCATTACCCAGAGCCCCTTGCACCAGGAAGCACACCTACCATCTGGGTCTTTAAAGGTCAGCGTGATGAACTTGCTTGCCACCATGAACATGAAAATCACCCAAAAGCATGCGGCCAACAGGAGCCACTGATGGTGCATGGTGTCACACATCAGACATCCAACGATTCTCCCTGGAAAACACAAGCGAGATGGCTCTGCTACTGACAAGCAAATTGCTTCAGCAAAAGGTTACAGGAAGAACAGGTGACCCCGATGAGCAGAATCCACACAAAGGCGTACATGGTCTTCTCTGGACACTGGTGGGTATTTTGGCTTGGTGTTTAATTTAACATTTCATATTTCATTAATGATACTGCAAGATCCATTTAGCAATTAGATCAAATTTGAAACATGTCAGTGGAGGAGAGATCTTGAGAGGAGGCTGTGCCTGTTTCTGCAACACAGGATGAGACTTTTTTTCTTGCACATTTGCCTCCTGGCTCTCTTATGGCCCAGCTCAGGGTGGCAGAGGTAAGTGGGCCGTTGGATGTCTGCTGAGGACTAGACTGTGGCTGGAGATAACTCACAGAGGGCAGAATCCACGCTGAAGAAATGCTGTGTAAGACCCTCACTGGCGTCACGATGCAGACATCCCTAGAGAATCTAAAAACAAAAAGCAGCCAGGTATGGTGACACATACCTGTAATCCTGGCACTCCAGGAGGCTGAGACAAGTTCAAAACCAGCCCCAGCAACACAGAAACTTAGTGAGACCTTGTCTCAAAAAGACAAAAAAAAAGAAACCAAAAAACAGAGCTGAGTATGTAGCTCAATGCCAAGGACCTGGATTCAATTCCCAGTACCAAATATAAAACAATGTAGACACCTAGGCTTCTCACCACTGTTCATTTGCCTACGTGGGCCTGGGTGAAATGGTGGGCTTGGGTGCTTTTCATGTTCTTCCTGCCCGGGAGTGACGCGGGGCACCCTGGTCGGTCCTCAGCTCATCACACGAGTCACCCTCTGCCGCAGCTGCAGGAGACACAGAAGGAAACAGAAAGTCACCACTGAGTGCTGCTTCTGGTCAGGCCATGCGGCTAAGGACACCACTGGGCAGGACTGTCACCCTGGCTGATGGAGGCCGGCCACCCCCCTGGGCAGGACAACTGTCTTCCATGCAGTGCTAAGGGCAGATAACTTTAGAGACAGTTTCTTACCTGTGCATGGAAGACTCAGGAGGACCCAGAGCAGTAACTCTCTCTCCTCTCTTCTAGAATCCACTGGAACCCAATGTCTGAACCTGAACTCCCCCCACTGCACCTAAAAGTGGTTCTCCAGCCTCATCTGAACATAGCCTATGACGGGGAGCTCACCACCTGCCAGGATACCTTTGCCCTTGCAAGGTGGCTTGAGGGCCACCTGTGGTACCCACACACCAGGCTCAGTATTCCCTGGGTCCCCACGTGGAACTGCCAGATTAAAGAAGGAAAAAATGGGACATCCAGTTATGCTTAAATTTCAATTTCTCAGTGTAAGTTTGTCCCAAGTACTGCACGAGACACACTAAAAATGCGGTTTTTTTCTGAAATGGAAATTTAACTGAGTGCCCTGCAGCTAATCTGGTTCCTATGCAATATCACCCTCTACCTGCCAGGGCCAGCTGTCTTGTCTCTGTCCCTACTCCTCATCTCTGTCGCTCCTGGAGCAAAGCACAAAGTGGGGAGGATCAGCATTGGTTCAAATCCTCACTCCACCACTTGGTGGCTCTTCGACTTTGCCCCCAAGTGACACAAAAGCTCCCATCCTCCAGGGGCACTGGAAGGAGTACACAGGTCCCTGAGACAGGAAGGCCCAGAACCACGGGCTCCAGCAGACCCTCAGTGACTGAGCGGGGTCACCTGGCACCTCTGTGACTTCCTGTTTCATCTACGGCCTTCTCACTTTAGTCACCAGACAGGACCACAGCAGTATGCTGCGCCCCAGAAAAGAGAGGGAAAGAGAGAGGGAGAGGGAGAGGGGCAGGGGCTGGAAAAGGAACTGAGAGGTGTTACACACATGCACACACTCCCCAGCATGAGCATGAGCACGACACACCACACACGTGTGCTAATAAAGATAGAACTAAAACACCAGGATTCCTGAAACAGTGCACTTCGCTCTGGCTAGGTCTCAAAGTCTCTGCTGACAGACAGCAGTGCTTTCCACGCTTTACAATGCTGACTGACACAGCGCTGTGATAGGGCCGTCATTCCAAGTTCACTGCCGGGCGGCTTGAAGCACCGGTGGTACGGCATGAAGTCCTATCAGCTGGCTTTTGATTCAGCTTCTTAGCAAGAAGACTGATAAAAGTGATCAGATGCATCTGTACCAAAATGGTACAGATGCAAGCAGCCCTCAGACGGTCGTGGATGCTCCACTGGGGTTCAAGCCAGAGGGAATGTATTCAAGAAACCAATCTGAGAGATGGACCACAAAGAGATAAAAAAATACAACATTTTAAGAATACAAACTATATACATGTACTCTGGCATTTCTTTCTGCTGTTTAATCACTTCAACCAGGACCACGGGCTACAGTTTCTTCCATTAAGGTAACTAAAATGAAAGAAAAGCCAGATAAAATTCTGTAATGGAAACCCAAAGAGCATTTGATGAAATTCACATTCATCCTTTAACATAACACCCCCGCCCCATATTCTCCAAACCAACAATCAGCGTTATATTTAAAGGTGAAAACCAATGACAGCATCAATCCGATTACAGACAGAAACCAGCTGAAAGTGCTCATTAGCATCCCTATTACATAATGTTGTTTTGGAAATTCTACCCGATGCAAGTAGACACGAGGTAAACAAATGGGAGAATATTTTATTATTTGAACATCCTACCATCGAACCATATCCCTGCCCCAGTTAGGGATTCTGAGCTCAACTTTTGAGATAATCTCAAAGCATCCGTGGGTTTGGCATTTTCTACAGTGTGGGAAAGGATGGCACAGACTTCCACAGCCAGGGATGACCTGGGGAACTGATCCAGCCAACACGTATCTCAGGACTTAGTGGGAACAACTCTGGCTGCATCATTTCACAGTTTCTAAAGTAGATGCTACACTTAAAGCATAAAGTGCAGAGAACAAGAAACACCCAGCGACACGCGCTCTGTCATGTCGGTTCTGCTGCACCTGCTTGAATTTTTCAAAGGACCCTGAGTGTTGTTAAGTGTGGGGGTTCCCACACACTTATCCACCCCATCAGGTGGCCAGGCCGTCACTGTCAGAGATGCACATGTCTGAAGAAGCAGTCGCAAGTCTTCCTGGGCAGATAAAGGCAGGGCCGGGCGGGGCACAGTACAAGGCAAGTTCTCCCGCAAGCAAACGCTACACACGGCTACCTCCAGAGAGGCCCTCTCCAGGGTAAGACCCAGGATGAAGGGTTAGGCGATCCTGAACCACTTAGTTTTTTTCCCCTCGTGATCTAGGTGAGTATGTGAAAAAGTTGTGGAGGTTACCTACTCAAAAATTCACAAAATCAGGGCTTGTTCTCTAGGTCACCAGCGACAGGTGTTCACCCAACAGAACCAGCAAGACTGTACCTCAGCCCCACCCAAAACCCCACTCCTCAGGGCCTGTCTCTGTACAACTGTCACATGCTCCTCTCAGACCCGAGCAGGTGTACAGATGTACACAAGGCTAGGGCAGGATGACCTAAAGGGTCACCAGGAAAGGAAGCATCCACTCGTGCATCCAAGAGGTCAGGGCACAGCAGTGCATCCACTCTGCACACACACACACACACACACCCCTCAGAGCCTGAAGCCTCACAAAGACACCTACAGACTCAGAAAGCCCACTTGAGACTTGGTCCATGGGGATTGGAGAGGGACCCCCCACCATGAGAAGACAGCAGAAGGAGGTGTGACCCGGGCAAGAGGGCGGGGACAGCAGATGCCCCTCAGGGGAAGGGGCAGGGACTGGGGTCTAGGGTACAGGCCTTGTGTAAGTGGAGGGTCAGTGAGGCTGGAGCTTCAGCACAGGTCAGACATTGCCAGGCCCCGAGCGCGGCTGGCTGTGTAGTGCAGTCTTCTCGGGGAATGTGGAAGCCGAGTGGAGTGTCGCGGGAAGCAGGGGAGAGGTGGGGTGTCGGCTTTTCAGTTTCTCTGTGAACCTCTCTGGCAGCAGCCAAGGATGCAAAGAGCAGCCCAGCATGGGGAAGCACATCTGTAGACTCAATGCACGGGAGGCCAAAGCAGGAGGACTGTTGTGACCTGTACCATGCAGGAGGAAGAAGGCACATTCCAACTGGGCTCAGGCACAGGTGGCAGGGAGACCACACCCTGCATCAATGACCAAGCTAGGAAGACTGAAGGAGGATTCTGGACTTTGGTGTTGTGCTCTAACTAAAAAGTGCCACTATACTTTCTGTATGCGCTCACTGATAACCTGTTTGCTGTGATAACCTTTGTTCCCTTTGTGAGGGACAATTGTTCCTGGAATCAGTGGACCTCGAGTTACCTATATTCCTCTCAACCTTTGTCCCCCTTTTGTGAAAGACAGTTGTTCCAGGAATTAGCTGACCACAAGTCACCAAATTCCTATAAAGAAGGAAATGGCTGGCCAGCAACTGTGAAACTTCCCGTAAATTCCCTGTCCTCGATCAAAAGGGAACAAAGGTCTTCCTCAATTTTGTTCTCCCCTCCCATCATCGGTTTTGTGATTTTCTTCTATAAAAATCTGACAAAATTTTAACCCAGTTACACAGCTTTGCAAACCCCCAACTGCACCGCGTCACTGGTGTCAGCTTAAATAAAGCCCTCCTTTTTCTTTTAAAAGACGTCTTGCCCTGTTTTTTGGATGACATCTCGAGGTCTCATTTTTGGGGTACAACACATGGGGTCTGGATGGCTTGGAAGACTGGTGTGCCCTGCTCACCCTGAGTGATCTGCTCTGTTCTGCACATATGCTGATCCTCAACATCTGCTTGGCAGTGCCTGACTGAGTTCTGTGCTCTAGGGCTGTGTGACAGTCCCCTGGGGAGCTTCAGACTCATGGCAAAGCCCAGATCCCCCAGCCAAGTCTGTGCACATGCCTGGGGTGGAGGGTAGCTTATTCCCTGCTCGAACTCCCTGAGCCCTGCCCAGGCATAGCCGTCAGGCTCTCCAGCCTTCTCAGCTTCTGCTGCCCCTGAGCCCACTGGGGTACCAGTTAAAGTGCAGGTGCCAAGCAGCAGCATAACAGCCACTCACCCACCTCCACCTCCCTCCCTAAAAGAGGAACTGGCAGCAAAAAGCACATCCAGCCCACAGTGAGCGGCCACATGTGTTCTGCATAAACAGCTTAAAGAGTTTAATTAGAACCTAAGCCCTGCCAGCCCTTTCCTTATGTCACTCTCCCCGACCTCTGCCATCCTGGGGAAACTAACTACACTATAGAACTAGGGATTGTCCACCTTTGTGCAGGTCGAACCTTTCCACGATACTCTGACTCATTTTATAAACAAGAAGTGAAGTGCTCCAAATCCACCAGCCCCAGCTCCTCCTCCTCCACCGTGCCACTCTGCCCTGTGTCCTTGAATGCCAAGTTCTCCGTGAGGCCTGCGGGGTGACATACTAAAGACTCACTGTGTCCCTCCGCAAGGGACAGACCCAGGTCTTTCTCTGGGGATCTGCTATAGGGCACTGCTCTCCCCAAAGCCAGGTGACAAATGGCTCTTTAAAAGCCTGACATTTTCTGTAATTAACTTCCCTTTGTTGAAGTAGCAGTGACAATTCTCTTTTGCAGCAGCAGCAGACAAAGACGGCAGCCCCAAGCCTACAGCACCCCTCCAGTCACAGTGTGTTGCCTGGACCAGGTCCCTCTGCCCTCCCCCCCACCCCTTGCCATCACTGGGGTCACATCCATCTGCCGGAACCTCCCACTTTCAGTCACTAAGTGGGATGTCAAGATGTTACAATCTGCCACTAGAGGGTTGGCTCTTTGAAATCCCTGGAGGCAGAGCTGGTGATTGATTAGGGGGAAGGCAGGGTCAGGGGGAAGACACTGAACCCATCAGAAGCCCTCACCTTTCTTGTCTCCCCAAGAAAAAGCAAATGGCAAACACTGGCCTGTGTATCACTCTGCAGTGGCTATGGCACTACTGCCACCTTCTGCTGCAAACCTCCCCACTCTTGCATTCTGAAACAGACGCTGTAAATTTATTTTGCTCAGCAGTCTAACGATCTTGCCGGCAGTCCTTTCCCCAGTTTGAGCTATCACCCAGAAACACTAAGCCTGTCCTGCTATTTGGTGCTGAACAGTTGGAGGCCGCTGAACCTTACTTTTCAGACCCACATTGGTTTAGTAAAGGTTTTGAAAAGTCCTGTGGAAAACAATTCATCTAACTCGGTCTAAATAGGCCTCCTTTGGGCTAGCCATTCACTTGGCAGCAGCTTATCCAGAGCCCTGGAGACAGGACAGAGAGAGGCGGCACAGAGCAAGGGAGTAAACCAAACCATGCAACACCTGGTCTGGATCCAACAGTGGCACAGGCGCCACCACGCCTCCTGCAGCATGAACAAAACTCAGGAGGAGACACTGCAGGAGAGCTGTGGACAGCCCCTCACTAAGAGGGAAACCCGTTACCCCCACATCACACACACACACACACACACACACACACACACACACACACACACACGGACCTGGGCCTCTCCCACCCACAGTTCAGCTTTTAAAACACATCTAGATAATAGGGGAGACTCTGCACAGAACAACTCAGTAATGTGCAAGACACTGTCATTCTGCAAAAACTTCAGGGGAGGAAGAACCAGACCTGGAGCTCTTTAAATTCATGTCACTAAGATTTTTAACCCTTCATAGGAGAGGTCTCTCTCAATTTAAGATCAGGAATCTCTTTTGTTTTTTTCTATGGCTGCTTTTCCATTTACTGCCTTGGCACCCTGGGTCACTCTTGGTTAGCAGAAAGAAAAACACAGCTCTGTCCAGGGAGGAACCTATTTGTGTTTAGGATGGAATCTCAAGATGAGGAACAGTAACTGCAGACCTACTCAGCCTCCTTGCAGTGGTACGGCCTGAGTGCGTGCCCTGCTGTTGCAGCTAAGGAAACATCTCCAAGTGTCTCTGTACATATTCCTTCCTGTCTGACTCCCAAGTTCCTAGAATTTACATACGAGCAAGAAAAGGGGCAGCAGGACACTGAATAGCACACACACAAGGACCTGGTAAGCTCACGTTCTCCCTCCTTACTTTCTGTCTTAGTTACTTTTTACTCATTGCTGAGACAAAATACCTGAAGCCCAAACAAAGTTGGGAAAGGAAAGGTTTATTTCTTACAGTTTATGGAGGTTTCAGTCCATACTCAGTTGGCTCCAAGGCAGGCTGGCATGGCAGGACCGCTGTTCACAGCAAGGCAAAAACCCACAAAAGAGCTCGAGACACACCTTCTTCCTGCCACTAAATCATATCCTGGCTCCACCCCTAGGCCAGTGTAGCACTCACACCCCCAATCTAAGCACTAGACGATGAACCAATCACAAATGCATAATGCAGATGCATGAGGCCTGGGGGCCACCCACATAAACCATGACACCTTCTGACCTGAGGTCACATTTCCTTGCCACATGTGCCCTGCCAGAGGGTCCTGGTTCCTCTTGCCACTGCACACACAACAACAGGAATCTTTCAAAGCAGGGAGGTCAGCTCTCTGGGTTTCTAAATGGGAAAACCATTAACCACTGTTGATCACACAAGTGTATTGTGTAAGATGAATCTCTCACCAAAGCAGGATATTAGGGTTCCTCGGTGAACAAGTAAATATTCTACCTGTGCTAAAAGAGCGATGTGTTTAAAAGCCCTTCAGGCAGCTTAATGTGACATTTTCTGTAGCTAAAATAATCCAACCCTATTCTACTTGTTTTCCAAGTTTGCTGTTGGATACAATATTCTTGCATAAGATTATCAGTTACCCCAATACAGGACGTTCTTGGTTTTGTATTTCTTGAAGCTTTCCACCTAGGAGATGATTCCGGACAGGTGTCATATGATGAATGAGTAAGTGGAAGGAGGTCAAACTCATGAAATTAGATTACAGATTTGATAGGAGGAGCTGGCAAAATAAGCCTAGACCTGTCTTTCTTCCAAAAACTCACGCTAAAATTAAAAGCAGTTTCCTGTTAAGCAGCTGGAAGGACCAAGCTGTACGCACTCTCACCCACGTTATTCTGCCAGAGGGCTCTCCTGGCTCTGCTCTCTAAGGATTTGCATTCACCTGTCTGCTCCACACTTCTAGTTCCCTCCCACCTTCTTGTTGTGCAACCTCCTCAAGCCTTTGAAAAGATCTGCATATAACTGCAAACTGCCCAGGACATTTTTAAAGCTTTCTTTGTTCACTTTTGCAAGCCCTATTTTTTTTTTTTTTTTAATGTCAGGGAAAGAGAGAATGGTCCCTCAGGTGTTTAAGATTCTATCCTTCTGAGTCCAGAGCAAAGATGGAAAGATTTGTCTTCCCGTTATTAAATTCCAATTCTGAGCTAACATGGACTATGTCCCAATTATAGTGGGGGGAAGGGGAAAAGGAATTTCTCTCTGTGTGTCTCTTTAATCCAATCACATAAAAAGATGAAGAGGTACGCGGCCGGTGATCAGCAAGCCAGAGCTAAACCAAGTTAAGACTTGACAGAGACACTTCTCGGTCTGGTGGTTAAAACTGACCAATGCAATCATCCAATCCCTCCTAGCCCAAAACTCCAGACTTTGGGTGTTGCGCACAAATAACCCTTTATGTCAGCGCCGCCCCGACTCAGCGACCCAGAACCTGGCCGGTCTGCTTTCCAGTCACTGCCCTGCCCTTTCCTGGCTTGAACAAACTTGGGTAACAAAACAATAACAAAAACCCCCGACAGCATCTGGACCGGAGCGACTAACGCGTCTCCCAGCAACTGTGAAAGTCAGGCACTCTGGGCAGGTCGCGGAACCTGGCATCTCCAACCCCGGGGGGTGCCCACTGCGCGGAGGGAGCTCTGGAGAAGCGCGCAGGCTGCTGATAGCTGTCTGGACCCCCACGGGGGCCTTCTCCTCCTCTCTTCGCCCCAATGACAAACACACATTTTCCGATTCGCGTGAAAGAAGCCAATGGGGGGCAGGGCCCGGGGTCAGTAGTTCCGCCCGCCCCCCAGCATCGCGCACAAGGTCGCCTCCTTATTGCATAATTATGGGATGGAGCCTGCCCGAGCCTCCCTCCATCCGCGAGATCCTTCTGTCGCTCCAGCGGGATGGAAGGCTACTCCCAACCCCGGTCCCGTCCACCTGGGGTCGCGCGCGGCCCGCCCTGGCCCCCAGCTCACCTCGGAGCAGCTGGGCTCCCCAGGTCTCGGAGGCTCCGCTCGCCGCTGGGCCTGAGCGCGCGCGGTGCGGGGACCACGCCTGCGGGGACGCCACCGCGCCCAGAGGACGCGGCGGCAGCGCCGGAAGGAAGGAGAAAGCCGAGGCCGAGACGCCGGCAGGGGGCGAGGGCGCCACCACCTTCCGGCCCCTTTCACTCTCCCGCCTCTGCCTTGCCCCCGAGCCCGATCGTGCGCGCCCCCGAGCTCCGTGCGCGCCGCCGGCAGGGGAGGAGGGAGGAGAGGAGCAGAGGAGGAGGCCCCGCCTGCAAAGGGGTCGCTAATCCCGCGCGCAGCAACCGCACCTCCCTTCCTGCAGCGCAGAGCGCCTTCCGCCTAGCGGAGCTGGCGCCTTCCCGCTGGGTCAGCATCCAAAAGAGCGCGCTCTGCCTGTCTGCAAGGGAAACAGAACCCTTGGTTTAGAAAAGCGCAAGAAATAGATCAGTTATTTCTTAGAGACAGGACACATTGCACGAGGGGTCGGGGAAGGGCCTACTGCGCAAACCCATATTCCAGGCCTCCGGTTTCTTAGCGGGATGGGAGAGTAGAGACAATCCACAGAGACTGCCTGAGCACTGCCCAGGTTGCCAGCCTGATTCCAGCCCTAGGGCTCTGGGGTGGTGCTTCACAGCTGTTCCTGTGTTTTAAGGCCTTCTTTACAGCCCTGGCACTGCTTCCTCCTCCCGGCTGATGCTTGGACACAGGTTGCAGCCCTGTGCTACAGCGGGACATTCACAGGGACAGCTGTTGGCATGTGATGACTTGTGTTATGGTTTGCATCTGGATGACCCCCAAAGCCTCATGCATTCATAGGTGGGGCTTTGGGGAGCTTATAGTCCAATGAGTTAGTTTATAGCTAGATGTGGTGTTAGGGGATGAAACCCGGTCAGGTCAGTGGTCTCTGCAGTATCCTGCTCCCTCCTCCCCATCTCTCCTTTTTTCTGTCTGCCCAGTCAGAAGCTGTTTTTCGTCTTCCATGCCCCTCTGCCATATGCTGCTCTGCCTGTGGACAGAAACCTCTGCAAACTGAGAGCCAAAATCAACCTTTCGAGTACCTTTTTTGGTTGTCAACAGAGTATGTGGTTTGTATCCAATAAACACCAGCTGTATCTAAGGTAACTTGGGGCTCCAAAGAGGAAGGCAGGATCATATCAAAGGGAGCCAAATGGGGTCCCTTGGCCCCCTCCATCTTTGGGGTTGGTCCCCAGCGTCCCCTCTCTGGGGACACTTGGGTATTCCCCCCTGCAGCATTGCCCTTGTCTGTGAAGGACGCATGGTTCTGCCCCAACTTTGGTCATGGCTGATGGGTCCTCCGCTGGGGGCCAGGGTCCCTCACCAGTGACAGCTTATTTCTTCCCTCCAGGTTAGCTGGAGTGGGTTGGAGGATGATGATCACCAGGGCAGCCAGTTTCTCATATTTCTTCTTTTCTCATTTTCAGCCATCATCTGTGCATTTCCACTGTTAAAGGTTAGTCTTAGAACCCACAGGTGTTTTTTTGGCATCTCTTCTGGATATCAGAGCACTCTGAGATATGACTGTCAAGGTATTGTGTGTGACAAATGACAACGGATAAAGGGGTGAATAGTTCATGGTTCTACAGACTGGTAACTTCCTAACCTACTGAAAGGGAGAAAGCCTGACTTCCTTCCTTCCTGTGAAGGAAGTCATTGCCTAGAGTACTGGGGGTTTATATCTGTGATGAAAGTAAACTGACTTTTTTTGCTCTAACCTGCATGCTAATTAACTACCTAACTATATAGCTGTTTAATGAGCAGATAAAATCGGTACAACTCTACACACACAAATGCATGAAAATATAAAATGTTCATCAAGCTTCTAAGGAATGAGCTTGTAGGTTTGTTTGCATTTTTGTCACCTCTGTTGGTTCCTTTATTGAGTAAACATTAGTAGGCTCACTGAAAACTTCACTTTTTACACCATGCCGACCATCCTGGTTCAGTGATTCCCTCAGTCTTTTTTCCACCTCCTTCCTTTCAGAGATGTTTGTGGAGCCCTTTCTTTGGTCACTGTGGCTGGAATGACAGATTCTTTTTTCTCTTTGCAGACTTGAATGGACAAATATAGGTGGGAGAAAAACTGAGAAGTAAATTTGGACCTTCAGTGGGGCATAGCCTATTATTCAGGATCCAAGCTCTGCGAATCAGCCCACATGGACTCAGATCCTCCAAACAAGCTGCATCTTATTGGAGATCCTGCAGACCCTGTGACAGTGACTGTCCACAGCATTGGGACTGTACAGAGATGGAAAGCTGTGAGCCAGATGATCTCGGGCTTGGACTCTTTAGCTGCCATTTTCTCTCAACTTGGATATCTGACCTAGCGTCCTGGTGACCTCTGAGCTATTTCCGTAAGCTTAGCAGACCTCCAGCCTCCACTAGCCCAAAAGTGAACAATGCTGTGAGGTAACGTCAGAAGCCTAGGGAAAGGACCTCCCTGCTTTGTTTGCCCACCTCTCTGATGTTCCCCCCATGCATTTATTGAACATACTGGCTGTGACTTTCTTTTGCTCTGTGGCTATGAAAGTTCTTGTGTCAGGATCTAGGACAAGGTCACTGCTTCTCATGAGTTTGGTGGGGCCCCTTGAGACGTGTATGCCAGCTCAGGCATACACAGTGTCTTGGCCTCCCCCTGCGATAATACAGACAGCTCCTCTCTTGTTCCCCAGGCCAAGGCATGATGTTTGGTTGAAGATGAAATGTTCTTCCTGTTCTGAATCTTAAATTATCCCCTTAAGTTCTCTGTGAACATGAGTCTTCTGCTGATCCGTTAGGTAAATGCTCTACAGGCGTTGGGCAGGTCCTTTCTCCCATCAGGAGCAGCCCGGCTGACTGTGGCTTTCTGCATCTTGACTTTTCTTTTCCTCATCCTCCACTGTGCTCCCTCAGGAGTTTTAGAACTGTGGCATTCATGTCCTTCAGGGGAGCATGAATCCATGTCCATGGTTACTTATAGTTGGCTCAAAATAAACTATTTTTAAGTTTTCCTTTAAAGCAGGGTCATTATTTACCTCAATATGATCTACCACACATAGGGAAAGGATTCATTTTAGACTCTAATAGCAGGAGTAGCTCTCAAAGTGTGATCCTGGGACCTCGTGGGGGGCCATCTCCCAATTCCTTTCAGGGGTTCTGCATGGACAAACCTACTTTCATGGTACTCCAGGGTGTTCTATGTCATCCTCCTTTTAGACATTTGCTCTTCTGGTAAAGCAGTAACTGTGGGTAAAATGGGTGAGACAGGAAGACTCCTGTTACTGGGTTGTGTCCCACAGTGTGAAAGAATAAAACTGCGGGCAGAGGGCACAGAGAGAAAACAAAGTTATTTAAAAACTATAAAGGCGAGGAAGTGAAATCTGTAAGGGCAAGGAAGTAATAGATATGAAAGCAAGCCAGCAGATCTCCTGCCAGCCATGAAGGGGGTCCTGAGTGGGATATTCCAAGAGGCTCTTTACTAGGAGTTTTTAAGGAGTTTAGAAGGGAGCTCAGGCCATTGTGCAAGCAGTAGAATCTCTACCCCATAGGAGTCTATGTGCTTCTCAGGGTCCAATCCGTGCAGCGTCCTTACAGGGCCACACAGGGTCTATATCCCTGGAGCTGATGGTCCTCCTCCTCCTCCTCCTCTGGGTAGGCGCCAGACGGCGGCAGGACAGCTCGTGATGCTCCTGTGAGATCCCTGGAGGGTCCTGACTCGGCAGACTGTTTTGGCCTTCCTGACCCCATCTGGGGGTGACTGAACTTACAGAACCCTAATTATTCCTGTCTCACTAATTCCTATGACAGCAGCAAAAGAAATCCACATCAGTACCGCTTCATCCTTTACATGCATGTGCTGGCAGCAAAGAGAGTACCACTGAGAATGTCCTCCAGGAAGCGGCCATGCTTTGTGACACACAGGAAGGGCGCATTTCGCCTGCTGCCTACCACAAGTTGGTGGCCATCTGGGGTCAAAGTTCTTGGGTCATTGCTTGTAGTGCAAACTGGTCTTTCATAGAACACTGTTTTTGATCCTTCCTGCCTTCCTTTCTTTATCTTTGTCTAGAAATGTCTCAGCTATAGCTCTCTTTATGGCAGAGCAGTGCTGCATTGTGAATGACACATTTTTTAATCCATGCATCTGTCAATGGACATACAGGCTACTTCCAACATTTAGCTTTAAGCTCAAGTTGTCCTGTAAGCGTGAGTTGTGCTGCTACGAGCATGGGTATGCATGGGTCACCGGAATGTGATGTCGTCAACTCTTTCACGAAGGAGCTTTGTGTTCCCTCCCACTGACCTGGCACTAGCAGGGATGACTAGATGTGTCTACACCAGTTTTCCCTGTGCTGTCTGTGTGGCCCATGGCTGCAGGATCCTGCTACATTCCAGAGAATGTTGGATCTTGGTGTAGCTAGTGAACAGAATGATAGGCAAGGAGAACGTTCTGCTAGAAGTCAGGAGCTGTGATTGCCATTCTAGCCCTGCTGTGGACGCCGGTGAGTCAGCTAACTTTTGGACCCTAGTTAGTTTTCTAATAGAAAATCAGCCTGCTATTTTGAACGACTGTCGTGTGAGTCCTTCCAGCTTCAGATGCCTATTCTGAGAAAACTGGCAGTTGCTGGAGGAAATATACATTTATATTGTGGTCTCAAATGTAGCAAAGTGTAGAAGGAGAAATTTAGGAGACATTTATCTAAGAAGAAAACACTAAAGAGGAAAAGAGGGGAACCAGAAACAAGTACGTTGATTTTGTGTGCGTGTGGGGGGTATATAGTTAGATAATTAATACCCATCTAACTGGTTGAAAATAAAATTACTATTTTCTTTCCATTTGTGGAAGAATGGGACCTACTTTTATGCCTCCTAACTGGTAAAGAGAATGTGAATCCAACTAAAGTTACTATTTTCTGTTTTTATACAGGGTATATTGCTCAGGATGCAATAGTGGGGCAAGTTCTTCCAGTAAACTAATGTATTGCTGGGTTGGCAATTTGAAAAAACTGGTCCTATCCTTCTTCTAACACTGGGTTCACATAGCATGGAAAAATGTATCCATCTCAGATAAGGCCAACTGATATTAAAGTGCAAATAGACCGTAAGGAGTGACAGACTTCTGTCTGTTGCCTGAAGATTGTTTTGGGGCCCTTATCAGCATAGCTCTACATGGAGTAGAAAGTCATAAATTCACCATGTATGAATTCTATTTTCTTTACCCTGCAAATCTCTTCCTCATAATAATTTAGCTTCCAAAAAAGTGCATTGATTCTCCACACACAAGGAAACCACTTGGGTTGCATACAGAAAATACAGGTCCCTGTATTCTATCTCCTGGAAATCTTATTCAAGCAGACAAAGCCTGGAGATGCTAGTTTTCAAGTTTCCAGATATAGTTGATAACAATGCACAAGCTTAGCATTTCAGCTGCTGGGGAGGCTGAAGCAGGAGGAGAGAGTTCAAGACTAGACTTTGTCTCAAAATAAAATGTTAAAGGGCTTATGTCTCTGTTACTTTTCTCTCATTGCTGGGACAAAATACCTGACACCCCAGATGTAGGAAGAAAAGGTTTATTTTGCCTACAGTTGTGGAGGCTTCAGTTCTTAATCAGCTGGTCCCAAGGCAGGGAGGCGTAGCTAAGGGGCAGCCCTTCAAGGCAGCAGCCTCAAAAGCAGGCAGAGCACATGGGAGAGCAAGCCTCCTTTCCTCCCTTATACTGTACACAGGCCACCTCCCACCTCCAGGGTCAGTGTAGCACTCACAAAATCTCTGTGCCCTCCCCTTGCACAGAATGAAGATGTTTGCAAAGTAAGAACCCTGGCTCCCTGCTGAATCTCTTAGTTAAGCTTCTAAATTTCTCAAGGTGACACAGTGTATGACCCATAACAGCTGGCAGTGTAGTACCCCAGGCCCAAAGCCCTGGGCTCAATCCCCAATGCCAAGTGAGGAGGGGGTTCCTCACATGAGTGGGATGTAAACTTCCTTTGGGAACACCGATTTAATCAATGTCCTGAATTATAGGATATGTTTAGTACTTAGCTATCAGTGATCATAAGATCCTAAGCAGGAAAGCAACAAAGAAACTGTAGTCATTGTGCTGAAACTGTTTGCTAAGTGAAAACAGTCATCATGTTTCCCAGCCCTTACATTACTCTTTCTTTTTAGATTCGCATTCAAAGTCGTAGGCTCAGTCCTCTTTGTGTGCAGCCTAAAGACTGCCCTGATTCCATGGCAGTGACAAGCAGTGTCTTGGGAACCGGTTGCCGCGGGAAACCGGAGCCTGTGATCTTATCACAGAGGCTCTCAGGCCTCTGTGCCTCTGAAACACATGAAAGAGTACCAGCATTTTGTCTGCATTTGTCTTTTAGCCAAAACCGTTTTTATTTCTCCAGCCGCCTCTTAATTAGATCCCATGACTGGGCGTTCAAAAGCTCTTCTTCCAAAGTGGCTGGAGGATTTGGAGAGAGACCATTGCAAATGGTGGCTATGATACCCGCTCTGGGCTTTGGACATTCTGTGATGGGAGAGCTCTGATGGTTACTGCTGCCTTTAAATTGCCTTGCTTTGAATACCCAAAGACGGAGGTTTTAATGATGCATTGTGGTTCTAAGCCTTCCCTTTGTTAAGGAAACTCAGGACTCCAAATTCAAGCTAAAGGGGCTACCAAAGTAATTTACCTAACTGAAGGGACAGTGGGGTGACCGGTCCTGCACAAGCCAGTCAGCGCCTGTGCAGGCAGTGGCAATTCTGTGACAGCCTCTCTCCCTGCTGGTGACTGGGAAATTTCATTATTAACTATTAGAGGGAAGCATGGATCTACGTGATGCCTTTGTTCTTTGTAACAGACTAAGGAATGTCTCAAAGGGGACGTTGCCTCAGAACTTCTATTTAGACCACCTCGTTAAAAATCGCTAACAGCCAAATTTGTTCATTTATAGATATCTATCAAATGCTTACTACATGCTAGGTATTATACAATGTGCTGGAGATACATAATTTATAACAATAACAGCAACAATAGGAACACCAATATAGGGACGGACTAGCGTATGCAAGCAAAGTTTTTCAGGGTGTGCATAGCACGATTCCTGGGACATGAAATCAATTTGGTGCTTCACAACCACCATTAAAATAACAGAAGAGAGCCCGCATAGTGGCACATGCTTGTTATCCTAGCACTTGAGAGGCTGAGGCAAGAGGATCGCTGCAAGATTGAGGCCAGCCTGGGCTACATATGAGTTTAAGGTCAGTCTGTACTACAAGGTGAAACCCTGTCTCAAAATAATAATAATAGTAAACCCAGGAGAAACAGGGGGGAAATAACTAGGAAATAGGAAAGTGCTTCCCTTCGAATGAGAACAACAATCATTTCATAAAACTTCTATTTAAGGGGCTGGAATTTAGCTCAGCAGTGTGAGCACCTGCCTTGCAAACATGAGGTTGTGAGTTCCATCCCCAAAACTCCCCCCAAAAATCTTCTTTTTAATACATACAGACAATGTATTTCCTATTGTTTGAGTCAAAACAGTTTTAAAACCAATAAGCTAGACCATTATTTCAGGAAGCTTTTTTTCTTTCTTTTTGAGACAGGTTCTTGCCATGTGATCCAGTCTGGTTCTGAGCTCACAATGTAGCCCAGGCTGGCCTCAAACTGCTAGTTATCTTCCTGCTTCAGCCTCCTGAGTGCTGGGATTACAGAGTGCACCACCACACGTGGCTCAACAACAAGCATAAATATGCAATGTTTTCACATTTTTAACTGCAGAAATCAGCATGTATCTCACAGGAAAAGAAACTTACAGGTCAATATTTCTCAAAAACACAGAAAATTCTAAGTCAAATAACAACAAATTGAATCCTGCTGTATAGAAAACTAGTAATACATCATGACTTTATTCCAGGAGTGCAAGGGGGATGAATATTAATATTTAAAAAACAAGTAGTATAATTCATTTCAGAAGCACAAAGGGCAAAACAGTTTGATCAGTAGATGAAGAAAAGGCATTTAATAAAATCCAATA